AGGATTGCTGAGGAAATAGAACAAGCAACTGCATTTTATAAGTATTTCATATACTATTAAAAAACACTGTGACAATAAAAATTATGCTTATTATTCTTGATATAAATATTTTGAATGCTCTTTTAGTCAGACTTTGTGATTTCTACTTTATTAATATAATTCTCACTTGCAGACAGCTATGTATAGGTCAGGCACTCAATAAATCCTTATGAACTAAACAAATAAACACTACTACTTTTGGCCCAAACCTTACCCCGCCCTAAATTTCTGAGGGCTGGGTACCACCATTGCTGAAAACAGAAAGGGGAGAAAAGACAAAACACCTGACTTCTGCCTCAGTCTAGAACATGATGTATTTACGCTTAAATAAATACACAGATCCTACACAGCCACCCTTGGTCTCCCTGAAACTCACATCACAACAAAATCGAAATATTAGCAGGGATGAAGTGCAGGGATAAGACCAACAGATTGAAGGCAGATTCCAGGAGGCAACATTATAATGGACTTAGATGGATAGAAGATAGGCAGCTTCAGTATGGGAGGGTTGTTCATTACTGGCCAAAAGACCCTCAGCATCACCAAACAGTATCTTTGACAGAAGAGACCAATGTCCTGTTTCATTTGTCAGTCAAGCTTATTAACAGAGATCAACAGGGAAAGGAGGTCCTCGCCAAGGTACATGCTTGAAATGGGAGTGGAAAGAAAGTCCTAGGCTGGATAAGAAACTTGAGGTGAAAGATGAGGGACTCTATTTCCAACCTGAGTGGACCTGGGTATTCTAAGGAGATGCTGTGGATGAGGGAGAACAGGAAGGAAGGGAGACTTGGGTTTATCCAGGCTCTGTCCTCATCTATCACATGCCTCTGAACTTGGCCATCAAATGAGGAGCAAGACAGGATGTTCTATGGCACAATCTGTCTCTCACACTTTGTGATTTCAGATGTTGTTAATTAAGAAATCTCTTGCTCACTCCACTCTTGGGCCAGGAGTAAAGGAAGAGTGCTAAGGAGAGAACAAATCAAATAAATAGGAATGAACAAAGACAAAATCGGTGGCTACAGAGCCATGAAATTAAAAGACGCTTACTCCTTGGAAGGAAAGTTATGATCAACCTAGACAGCATATTAAAAAGCAGAGACATTACTCAGCCAACAAAGGTCCATCTCATCAAGGCTATGGTTTTTCCACTGGTCATGTATGGATGTGAGAGTTGGACTGTAAAGAAAGCTGAGCACCGAAAAATTGATGCTTTTGAACTGTGGTGTTGGAGAACACTCTTGAGAGTCCCTTGGACTGCAAGGAGATCCAACCAGTCCATCCTAAAGGAGATCAGTCCTGGGTGTTCATTGGAAGGACTGATGTTGAAGCTGAAACTCCAATACTTTGGCCACTTCATGCAAAGAGTTGACTCGTTGGAAAAGACCCTGATGCTGGGAGGGATTGGGGGCAGGAGGAGAAGGGGACGACGGAGGATGAGATGGCTGGATTGCATCACTGACTTGATGGGCATGAGTTTGAGTAAACTCCCGGAGTTTGTGATGGACAGGGAGGCCTGGCATGCTGCGAATCATGGGCTCCAAAGAGCTGGACACAACTGAGCAACTGAACTGACTGACTGACAGAGAACGGTAGAAGGGGTAAACTGGAAAGAAAAGATACTCGGAAATGCTGGTGTTCACACAGAAAATACAAGAAGTTAAAGGGAAGGTTCAAAAAGTTGAATAGAACGCAGGGAAGTTTTTGAAGTAATTTAAGGGTGGGTTCAGGATGAAAATTATAATTTGGAACAAAGGAGAGTGGCTGAAATTGGGAAATGACCTGAGTGATCGGAGAGATGAGTAGTCTAGAAAGGGCCAAGTTCTCAAAGCTTCAAGTATACAGTACGTTCCCCAGGCCACACTCAGGAGACTGATCGTTTTAAAGCATGAGTCCATGTTTGGCAAAAATGGCTTGAAACTTCTTTTCATTGATTTTATTCTGAACATTTGTTTGAGCATCTCTCAGGATATTTCTTTGGGGGTTATTTAGTTAAAAAATTGGGGGAAGGCAGAGACCTATTCAAAATTTTAAAAAGTGATTAAACAATTTTGAGTTCTGGTCTTTTCTAGACATTCTGTACAGAAGGAGGGACATAGAAATATAGAACTTTTGACAATGGATAATTATCAGAAGATTCAGCACACCTTTCCTGTGGATAAAATAAGAAAAGACAAAAACATGGAGGCCTGGAACTTTCCCAGAAATAAACCATTTTTCTGGGAAACTTGGATATAAGGTTTATTTTACCTAGGTCAGACTGCTAACCAGCATTTTTGTTGGACTCGAGTTCTTAAAGATTTAAATGTTTCCTATTCTCAACCTTTGGCTTACACCTAAATACTTAACAGTTCTTATCTCGGGGCCCTACTTGATAAGAACTTGGGAAAATGTACTAAAAATATGTCTTAACAAATCTTTCTCACGATAGGAGCAGTCTTTTTCCTCTTGGAGGAAATCTGGCTCTTATTGCTAATCTGTAGGAATCTGCTACTGAAGAAGGGCCGTGTAGGCTTGTGGGGTCTGCTCTGGATATTAACCATCTTAACTGCTGTAAAACCTTGGCAGCACCTTTCAGACCCCAGAGCATCTTGTAAATATGGATTTCTCTGACATTTACATTAGGTTGCACTGCCATTTTATTTAGAAATAAATTTAGAAATCAAGGAATTAAAAAAATTAAATAGTTTGCTCAAGGGTATAAGCAAGTCCTTGTCGAGATTTCAATTGAAACTAAAGACTGGGTGTATGCCTCTTGTACTTAGAGGCAGTGTCTCTTTGGTGGTTTATTTAGGAAGTTTTAAGTTGCATTTTAAAGGAGATAAAAATGCTTTTGTTTAGTGCAACTTTTAGGATGCTTCTCTGCAGCTCTCCAGGTACATACTAGATTCACTTGAAATTTAAGTAATCATTTATGCATTTATCACTTGCTCCCACTGGATTTTAAGCTTCTTCCAGCACAAGACCCATGCCTTATTCACCCTCAGCCATCTTTCACCATGCCTAGGGCAGTGCCCCATCACACAGCCTTAGGGGCCATGAGTGAGGAGGTTCAAAGATGACTGTCTTCTTTCTGCTCCAAGGGAAGTCTTTTACAGAGGTTGAAAACACAAGTCATCAATTCCAAATAAATTTTATCAGGTTCCAGGAACTGCTCTACTGGTTCAAGTCAGACTACTCCTTTATCCCCTTCTTTTCCTCCCTTGTAAAGTGCCAAGACACAGCACAGCAACAGAAGTGGTCACAGCAAACTGTGTGGTATAAGCTTAAGGAAGGGTTGAAAACAATTCAGTGAAAAATATACTTCATATTAGAAGGAAAACACTGACTAAATTTCACTTTTGAAATTCCTGATTCAGTATTTCTCTGAATATCATGCAACGTTTGCATTCACTCTCCCTTTCTTAATAAGCAGCTTATGTACAGGCCACTAAGGATACAGAGCAATGCATAATTAAGTCCAAACCCCCATTACATAGTCTGAGCTCTGTCAATAACAATCTATGAATAAATAAACCTCTGCACTTGGGCAAACCACTTACCACTTATAAAGATACACTCTTTTCTTTTAAACCTTGAGGGACTATTGAGAAAATCAGTACTTCAATCTACACAATACTTCGAAGTGTGAAATTCTGTACAGCTTTGTATATTTGTACAATGAGAATGAGTGGTAGAAGAGGTTTTTACTGCTGTTATTGTCCAAAATAACTATTCAACAATTCAGTGGAATTCTAGAATTATTTTTATCTTTCTCTATTTTTCTGTAATGATGACATTTGTTAGAAATGAACATGTATTGTTTTCTTTACCAAGCCAATAGTTTTACTTTTTTAAATAAAAAATTTTGAGTAGTAAAAATGGAGGAAATGGGTTTTAGACAAATTAAGAATTTCATGACAGTAAAAAAAGAAGTGCTGACAGGATTCATGGGTACATGGATTCATGCTAGGTTTGCTCAAATGTGTGAGAGACAGAGCCTCAGTAACCATGCAGAACTCTTGGGGGACTGGTAAATTGTCAAATGGATACGCTTTGAGGCTGGGAGTCCTGAGTTTTAAGTGTCAACTCTGCCACTAGCCAGCGTTGGATTCTTGTCAGATAGTTTAACCTCACTGTGGTTTCCTTATCTGCAAGAGGGACTCACATACACACACACACCACACACCATACACACAGGAGTGACAATAACACAGTCAAGCAGTTTAATCTGGGCAGTTAAGGTATGGGTTTCAATCAGTGTCTCCAGGGTGGCAGGCAGGGAAGTGAATGTGCCAGAAAGATGCAAAGCTGCCTGGTGGTGACAACAGCACCCATCAGTCTAAGCACCAGAAAGCCTGGTCAGAATACCTGATTTGGCTCCACTTTACTGGGACAAGTCACCGTGCCTTATATCGATGTCCTTAAGAGTTGGTGGCAATGTGGTTGTCCTTCTACTTCCTGGAATTATTTTGAAAATTAAATAAGATAATCACAAAAGCAACTTGAAAGTAAAAACAAAAACAAATTTAGAAGTATTCTGAAATTATTTTAGCACTTTAGCCCTTAAAGTTTAGATAAGCCAGATGGGAGAAAATAAAGAATTTGACCTAAGAGTCAACTCTGATAAATCAAATGACTACTACTTTTCAATCTGGAATAGGATCAATCAAAAAAAAAAAACACATTGTACACAATGATATTAAAATGTGAAATCATATATACAGAACCAAGTACCCAGGGGATGTTCAGCAAATGAAAGTGGCTTGCACAAAAGCAGAAGCCTGGGCCTCCTAGAGCACTTACAACACTATTTGGTAACTGGATGTCCACCCTCGTGCATCTTCCACCAGGATGTGTGTGAGCTTCTAGATTGCACAGGTGATTCCATGGGTTGGGGGTGAGGCCTGGGCGAGTATAAATAAGAAATCCAACTCACTGAGGATTTTGATGGTGTATAGCCAGGGTTTAGACCCACTAACCTAATCCAATACGGTAATCTCTGTCTTCCTCAGAACTAAAGAGGTAACATATTAACAAATCATCTTTCCATTCTGGTGAGAGGGAACAATCAATAATAAGACTAATTTTTACTGGGTACAGAATTGTGCAAATCTCTGTTGCAAGATGAGAGGATTCAGGAAACCTATTCATGACTGACAAAAGACAAGTACACCTAGAAAACCTCTTCCAAAAAGCTTTCTGAACTTCTCTTGTAGGCTTTCTCTTCAAACAGTTAAGGAGCTCCAATATTAGCTTCAGGAGCTTTGGAATGATCAAAAGTCAATGAATCCAACAGGTAAGTTTATAGCTGTAATCTGCCTGTTTCATCCAAGATAGCCTTTCATTTATTCTTGTCATGGGCTTCCTAAGGCAGTTTTGGGAATTTGTTCTTATATTCTTGTTCTCTCTCTCAATATCTCAATATCAAGAGGCTTAAGCAACACCAGAGGTTCTCAAGACAAGCCAAAGCCTTCTGGCAGAGAGTCCAGACTGTATCCCCTTCACTGGTAAGGGCACAGTCCATACATGAGAGTCAATGTAAGATGCCATATGGGTTATGTGCACGCAGAGCAAGTGAGAGCAAGTGAGAGAGCAGGCAGGGCTGGCAAGTGGGTTCTGAGCTGTGCTTGCTCTGCTTAGAGGAGAGGGCAACTCATGATCTTGATGAGAGAAACAGAAAGAAAATGTCAACACTGGATGGAGGAATGAATGTCTATTAGTCAGGGGAAAGGAGGAAGTGGATGATCATGATGAAGTTTCAGACTCTTCATCTCTAATTGCCCAGAATCTGTGCTCCTTGAAGATTCAGAAACAGAGTAGATTCACCAGTACTAGATGATTGATGTCTAAGGCCTTTAAGTCTACCTTTTTTCCCTCCAGTAATGGGCCACGGGGATGTTAGAAAACCCTGTGTGGATTCAGATTCCTTTTTTGACATGATGCCTTGAGAATCTCCATACTGCTAAGTCAGTATGAAACTCAAACCTGACTTGAGTGCATGTGGGGGCTTTCCATACACATGTTCAATAAGGTTAGTAATGCTTCATAAAGCTCACATATAATGATCTAATTCTGGCAGAGCTAATACAAAGAGTTCAAAATTAATTTATCCTTGATAGCACTTATTAACCATTTACCCTGCTAACTTTATCTGATATCCATCAACAGTTCAGTTATTCTTTTTATCAGATGAAACCCAAAAGTACAATTCTTAGCTATAATACATCACTTTCCTCAAAGGGTGAAAATGGACTTCAACAAAGGAGCTTGAAAACCAGAGAGACAATTAAACATCTTAGATTTCTGGTATTGAGTATTCTGAAATTATTTCGGCAGTTTAGCCCTTAAATAAAAGTTTAGATAAGCCAGATGGGAGAAAGGCAAATTAGAGAATCTGACCCAAGAATCAACTCATAAATCAAATGATTACTACTTTTCAATCTAGAATATGATCAATTCAGTTAGCAAACTGGTGCCTTATATTTAGGTCAAGAGAAAAACTATCCACAGGATTGTAGTCACTGAAAAAAAGAAATGCTACTTTTTATTGCTAATTCTATTCTATCCCAACTTTTCTTTTTCTTGCACATTATTACCTGTGGCTTAATCTGACCCACAAAATCTGGCTTTAGATGATGGATTGTTAAAGAGTTAGTGTCCTATTCCAAGAAAGGGTGGGAAAAGAATGGGATGTGGTTAATGACACTGAGTAACACAGAGTAAGAGCATTTCAGAAGATATCAGTGGCTGAACAAAGTCTTGTGGCTTGCCCAGACAGAAAAATTTAAACCAGCTAAATATACCTGGAGAACCACTTCCACCTGAGGAAAATCTATAGATTTTAAAGTATTTTTAAATTATAGCAAAGAACTAAAATTTTAATTAAAAACTTTTCATATGGGAATATATTATATATAAACCCTCTGAAAACTACAGTAATGCTAACTTGAGAAAATCTGTGTTCTGTAAACTGTATGTACCTAACAATTTGAAGGCAAGATTTCTTGTGGATTATGAATCATCTTTATCCATTCTGTCCCTAGCTGAATGCTGGAAAGCTATTATGATTCCATAGCAGTTCATCTGATTATAAAAGAATGGCATATTCAGCTATTCTGACTTAATGCCAGCTCTTCTTTTTGTAAATACACATTTTCAAAGTTTAAGGCAACTGGTATGTTCGATTGCTCGGCTGTGTCCAACTCTGTGACCCCGTGGACTGTAGCCCATCAGGCTCCTCTGTCCATGGAATTCTCCAGGCAAGAGTACTGGCGTGGCAGACCTTCCTGACCCAGGGAGGGACTGAACCTGGGTCTCCAGCGCTGCAGGGGGCTTCTTCACTGGCTGAGCCACCAGGGAAGCCCTGACTAGGCCCGCCCAAATCTGATGCTGCGCACCGGGTAAATTATGCTTGGCACCTGTCCTGAGGTAGACGTTGTTAGGGTACCAGCTCACTGCTGATTTAGTTTCATTCTGCCTGTTTTCTCCTGCCCGATCTTCCACTCAACTAGATAAGAAAGACCAAGCATTGAGATACCTCTAAGTACTGTATGGCTTGAAAAATTACACTTATAAAAACAATTTTTGAGGCATGATATGACACCTATCCCGAGCCTCTCAACCTCCCCTACTCTTTTAAGACAAGTATGGACTATGAAGAAAGAACTGAAGACTTGGCCCTACAGGGGACTTTTAAATGACCTGAGCATGTGCTTCTTTAAAAAGAGTGGCTTGCACTTAGTTATGGCTTATAGTTTTTTTCTCCTAAGGGTGCTATGGACTGTCACCAATAGATAGTAAATGTAAGTTCAGAAAACGTTAAGTCCACATTTAAAAACATTTTCTTAATTTACAAGTTACCCAAATAAACAATATTAATTCCCTACTTCTTTCCTCCAACAACTTTATTCTCTATTTTAAGGCTGCAGGTAAGTTTGTTCAAACTACTAGAAGGAGGAGATTGTATGTGGAATAATAGGGTGGAGCCAGTTCTGCCTCAGGATAGACAGGAGATGGTAGGAGCCAGAAGAGAAAAGGCAGTCTCCCCACCTAGTGTGTACAAGGCTTTCCTACTGAATCAAAGTATCTCTTCCCAGATGACAATTTGAGTCCTGTGGTTGAAGACTTTTTTTTTTCCCATTGATCAAGTTTCCTTATTCATAATCATTCAAAAAATTATTTCATGGACGTGAAGAAGTGAATTAGGTATCTAAAAGTGAACATGTTTTCTTTAAAACTGAAGTCTTTGCTCATAAAGAAATTATGTCCTGATAAATACTTTGACAAAGAGACAATACTATTTTCCTGCATTAAAAATGTAGACCTGTTGGAATTCCCTGGCAAGCCACTGGTTAGGACTTGGTGATTTCACTGCCTCTGGCCAGGGTTAGAACCCTGGTTGGGAGAACACAGCTGCAAGCTGTGTGGCATGGCCATAAAGAAAAAAAGTGATCTGGAAGTGAGAATACTCAACCTTTACTCAGTGAATGCCTCAGTTCGACACCGCACGGGATCTAGGTCTAGAAATGTCTAATGTATTCTTGGAAATACTGTTCTTTATCCAAAGTAAGCTAACCACAGTAATATTAGCAGAAATCATCTTCAGGAGGAAGTTTAGTGTGCAGGGTAGATAACAGGGGGCAGGTGGGCCATATGTAATCTTTGGTAACTGCCCACCATAAGTGTGGTGTCCAGAGGGTGGTTCCATAAATACTGTTGACTGACAACTTCCAGGATTCATTCCTTCCTACACTCTGCCCACACCCTCTTTCCATGAGATATTCCATTCTATAAATATGTTTTCTTTTTGACAACAAAAGTGATAAGCCTTAAGTGGAGCTTATTCCTGAGAGAAACTTAAGCAAGAAAGAGGAAAACAGGACAAGTAGTGCAAAGTGTGTATAGGTGTGTGTCAGGAACTGGCCTGCTGATCTGAGGTTATGCCAAAGAAGATAGGTGTGGAGCAGCACCCTATCTGCCTAAACCGACAGTGGGAAAGATTCAGTCTGAGAAGCAATTTTTCCTACCAGCCTATTTTGCAAGTGCCTCCTCCCACAGCCAAATGAAAGAAGAATAGCTGGCTCCCTATCACCGTGGAGCAGCTGAAAAGGTGACACTGGACTCTTCCTTCCAGGCAGGCTCCTGGCCAAGAGGAAAAGTATCTTCTCAGACTAAACAGATACACCCAGGTGAGCAAGGGCTGCTGTTTTTTAAAAAATTAATAAGAAAGTAAAAACCAGCATATTAGACATTTGCCATTCCTCACTCCTTTTTCCTTCCCTCCAAATGATTCCATTTTCTTTTTGAAGACAAAGGATACATCTGGCTTTGAAATATAAATGTCTAACAGCAAAGCTGATAGGTGACAGCTGTTGGATACAAATTGTTAAAATAAGCCACTGATAACTGAAAAATATAAACCTTTATTATACTTTATTGATCATAATAGATTCCTTGCAAGAATAAAAAAAATCAATCTGGCTGACCCACCCTTCATTTATAGTACTATGTTTTGAAAAGTCAAGCAAGAAACCACTCTTTTTCAGACTATTAAGATCTAGGGTAGGAACAGTATTTTCAGACACATGTCAGGTAATATTACTGTTTACCAAAATTTTCTGCCCTTTCCCAAAGGGAAATTATATAGCACCTCCCATGTTGCACTCAAGTGTAGCCATGTGGCTGGCTTTGGGCAGTGACCACATATCACTTCCAGAGGAAGCTTGAAGAGCTAGCATGGAACTTTACCTTGCTCTTTTATCCTCCTTGGCTCTGAAGAGCAGCAGTGATGCAGACTGGGGCTGCTCCATCAACAGACAAAAAGTCAACACAGAGCAGAGCTGCAGCTGACCCACAAACGACATACAGGACAACTGAGAGAAAGCCACTGAGACACGGGGTCATGTAGGATGATTACTATCTTGACTGCTGTTATGTATCTAACCTAGGGCACTTAAAAGCTTGGATGGATGGATGGGTAGATGGATGGATAATAGGAAGTTCACTGGTGAAACCTGGTAGGTTTGGTAGGTACCAATTGAATATAAATCAAATATTTATTTGGGGGGGTGTGGAAACATGCAGTTTTTAGGTTAAATGACAGTTTAGAGAAATGGTAAGCAAAATAAGGGCTTTGTACATTAGAGATCTAGGTTATGAAGTTTGATAGCAACCTAACCAGCATCCAGCTTCCCTGATAGCTCAGACGGTAGAGCGTCTGCCTATAATGCGGGAGACCCGGGTTCAATCCCTGCATTGGGAAGATCTCCTGGAGAAGGAAATGGCCATTCATTCCAGTATTCTTGCCTGGAAAATCCCATGGATGGAGGAACCTGGTAGGCTACAGTCCATGGGGTCGCAAAGAGTCGGATACGACTGAGTGACTTCACTTTACTAACCAGCATCCAAAGTATCCACTCTCACAATCAACATAAGACCTGCCATCTTTAATCCACTTGCTTCAGATGTAAGTAGAAAGAATATCAACCAGCCCCTGAGGAGTCCCTGAAGTAACTGCCAAAACAGTGTCTCTTTAGTTCCCATGGATATATCTTGTAATAAGGTAGCTCTAGGGATGGGATGAAAGTTAAAAGCCTAGTAACGCAAACAAGTGCCGGAGATTACCTAAACCTTGAAAGTCCATCTTGTTGATTGACATGTTTTACCATTAAACAGCATTTCTTTATTGAGCTGCAGTCAGGGGTGTGGTTCTAGGCTGATGCTGGGTGGAGAATTAAGGCTGGTATGATGATTACAGAAGAGTCACTGCTGCCTCTTAACAGGAGAATTCCCTTCTGCTTGTGTGCCTTCAGAGGTCTGTCTGGGAGGGCAAATGGCATCAGCTCTGGTGCATGGCATATGTTATCAGCTGGCATCACCTCTGGACCTTGGTATTCCAAGGACCCAGAGTAGGTCAGCATTCTTCCAGGTGGATTCAGCGGTTGTTGTCCCTCTTCTTTCATTACACATGGATCTTTTGTTAGATCAGGTGCCACTCAGAATCCCCTCTTCCACTATCTTCTGTCTTTAGACATCAAAGGGAAGATATAAAATTTACTCCTAATGTCTTTGGCATACTTTATAGTGACCCAATCTATATCCAGATATATATTGGATATATATTGGATACATATATTGGATACATATATTGAATATATATATTGGATATATATATATATAGGATATATATTGGATATATAGTGACCCAATCTATATCCAGATATATGTTGGATATATAACAGCACAAATGCAAAGACCAACCAGGGAAGGTAATTTGGGACACACCAACTATCTAATCTTTACCAAGAGAATATACTATGGACTAGCCCTGAGCTGGATACCTTGAGAACAAACTGCAGTCCTAGAGTCCAGGCCTTAAAGTCAAGTGGATTTTTTAGTTAGCTGATGAACAAAGAAAAAGAGAAAGAAAACAAGATGACTCTCTTCTCAACTAGCACAACCTAGAAATGAATAGCATGTGTGTACACAACTCACAACTCAGAGACACGTGAGATCAGTAAGGGTTGGAGAATGCAGGCAAGACTTTCTCCCATCCAGAGAAACTTTTAAGGGAGGAAAAAGGGAAGCCTAGCAAAAAGAATATATGATGCTAGAAAGACTAGAAGAGAAAAGAATACAATTCATCCTTAAGTTATTTGTACACTAACAGTTTCAATCAAAATACAAACAAAAAAGATACTTCATAGTTCTCAAGAAAAAGATACTAAAGCTGACTTGTGAAAAAAAAAATGGTTGTAACTTTAAAAATAGGAGGAGGAAGCGGGGTGGAGGAGAATAAACTATCTGCATGATGTGTAGGTTAAATAGAAAGACAGTAAAGAGTAGAAGAAAAAGTATGTGATGAGTTTATACAAAAATGATACATTTACAGTTTTTTACTACATAAAACTGTGCTTATGTAGAATTAATTGAAATCACAACCATTAATAAATGCAAATGAGTAAAAACTTAAGATTTTAAGAGTAGAAAATTATTAATGAACAATTTCTTTATGAGATCACAGCTACTATATTCCACAAATTCCTTTACTTAAATCAAAACCTCTAATCCAGAGGTTCTCAACCCTGGGCAACACCCCTTCCCTTCCTTTGCCCTATTAAGGAGGCTCATGGGAATTTGTGTCATGGGGTCATCATAACGACTGAGAGGCATGACTGGTACGTAGCGATAAGGGCCAGGGATGCAGAGTGCCCTACGGCACACGGGACAGTAGTACACAATGAAGGGCTGTCCTGCTCAAGACACCAGCAGCATTGCTATTAACAAAATGCCAGAGGACAAAGACCAACTCTTCTAAGACTGCCCACGTGCTACCCAAGATACACTGCACGTGCTGCGTGTGTGCTAAGTCGCTCAGTTGTGTTTGACTCTTTGGGATCCCATGGACTGTAGTCCACCAGGCTCCTTTGTCCTTGGGATTCTGCAGGCAAGAATACTGGAGTGGGTTGCCATGCCCTTCTCCAGGGGATCTTCCTGACTCAGAAAATGAACCTGTGTCTCTTACATCTCCTGCTCTAGCAGGTGGGTTCTCTATATTAGCGCCACCTGGGAAGCCCTAAGATACACTGTAAAAACCCTAAAATCCAACCAAATACTTCTAACTTTATGACACTATAATTTTTAAAGAAGTCCAACTTTTTCACTAAAAAAAGCTCTCAAAATGCAGTCTCTCCTCAAAGACGGAAATGGACAAAGGATTTTTACATAAGTAGAAAAACATCAAATCCTCTAATTTCCTGAGACAGGTTAATATTGCTTTGATGCTAGAAATGATATCTGAACAAATACAGAGGGCCTAAAAGTTATTCCCACTTACTAAACACATTTTTCACCCTATCATTCATTGCTATCCCATAGCTGGTCCAGAATCACTGTCAGCCATTCCTGCTTGCTTTTTGTGAAAAAGTGCACTCAGTGCCACCCAATATGCTTGCAGCTACTATGGACAGCACCTTCTCCATGGCCGGGAAGAAAAAGGAAAGAGGAAACAGAAAAACTCCATTTCCTGTGAGGTGTAGAAATGAGATCCTGCGTGTTCAGTTAAAAGATTTTCCTCCTTTTCTGCGTCTTCAGTATTTAAAGAGATGTGAGATCACATTTAACTTTCCAAAAGGCTGATGATACTGCCATCTAGTGAACTCAGTCATTATACCAGAAAGACAAAAATGTAAGTGCTCATGGGCCCATTATTTCTAATATAGAGTTCAGGAAGTAGAATAAGTAATCTATTTTAATCTTATAAGTATCAATTATAACATTTTAAAAGATTGGAAAAGGTACTAAAGGAAAGTTTGCAGTCTATGTATTATTCTTTGTGTTATCAGCACAATAGGGGCATAGAAGCAAATGCTACTTTCCTGTAAAGCACAGGAGCCCTGCGCTTCCTCCAGCAGTGAGGGCTATGGCTGCACTTAGGATCAGCACTTTGTTGACAGTGTAGCCCATTAATCCATCTGTGGTGAGTACCTGTGCTTTTTTTGAGGAACTAGCTTATTGAATCCTAAAGACCCTGTGAGTCATGGATCCGGTCACAATTCTTTCCTTGCCTTGGCTGCTGGACAGCACAGAGTTAATCAGCCTATGTCTAGTGTATTTACAAGTCCTTACACAATACACGTTCTATCTGCATCCCTCACTTCCTCTTCTGGCCATTTCCCTCTGTCCGAGTAGCCTCACCCACTGATCATTAATTTCATTCTGTATATCCTTAAGTCACCATAAATTTTTTTCTGAAAAATTGAGTACATACAAACGAAATCCATTCTTGACATTTGTTGTGTGTATGACGCCATGGTGGGAACCCTGGCATAAATATATAGAAGACAAGTGTCACAGGTCATGGTGATTCCTGCCTTGTGTGGGTCCCCTTCCCACTTGTTAACTCCTCATTAGAAGAACTGCGGATGGTCAAAACCAGGATTCAGAGTTATTTCTCACTTACAATCACTATCTTCTACATATTCCAGTATGGCCTCAGATGACATCATCACCTTAGGGTGAAGGTTAAATTCATCCTTAGGATTTCATGTTAAATTCCTGCAGCTTCTTCACCTTAAGAGGACTGCTTTTTCATCTTCCATCTGACGAATTCATTGACTCTCACTGCTTTTATACCTTGTCCTATTTCTAAATACCTCTGGAGAAGGAAATGGCAACCCACTTGGAGATACGTCTAGAAACCCAGTTTAACATACTGGAAGCTAAAGTACTGAGTCAGTGAGGAACTTGGCCAGGTTAGCAGGACTCTTCGTTCAGTAACAATTATCTGAGACTTACTAAAAGATTCCTTAGTTTGCCTATTGTTTTTACAGGTAAAAAGCTTGGACCAGGCACAATACTAGCAAATGGAATGCTGGGGACTGACAGCTAACAACCCCAAAGGCCAAAAACCACCAGGCATGTCAGGTCAACCTTCTGTATGAAATGAGGATGGAGACACGGTCGACAGGCAGAGTAATAAGGCAACCTAATTACACTGGAGTAGCAAAATGAGCACATACAGGACAGAGAGGACATATTTTAGAGAAAAATAATTGTGAATAATTCAAAGAAACAACCAAATTGCATTATTCTTCTAGGGACTCATGGAATAAATTAAACACTTCCATGAAGAATGATCTTATGTATGGGCTTCTTTCTCTTTGCTCAGCCACAATTCCCAGAAAAGTGGGAAAGACTACACATCTGATTTCTGCTGGTAGGTCTAGAAGATGAAATCAAACAGACACTCAGGTCTCAGACATGCAGCAGAAAGCATGTTCTTCCTTTAGCATACCAGAACTGTCTCCAC